CAGCAGCGTTCTCCATATTTTCGCCATATCCTGTAAAGAAACTCAGGCGCCGGGGAGATAGCTCAGTAGAATAAGCGCTTGCCTGCAAAGAAACTCATGAAAGAGGACTCTCAGAGCTGCTGCAGTCAGTGGCAAGAAGGACGGGGTGGGTATGTTTGAAGCGGGGCAAGGATTTTTGAGGGGAGTCATTTCTTTGAATTTAAACATTCCCCGCCTATTTTGATCACACCTCTTGGGAGAGGGACCCTGCTCTAAGCGTGACATTCGTTCAGGCTTCATGCGCTTCGCATACACACTGCCCGAAGCCCCTTGCTGCGGCACTGACACCTGCGCTGCGCCTGTTCCCTGTCCCGTGAGGTCAGGTGTGAATGTTCCGCCTGCGGCCTCGGGTCAGCCCTCCCCGTTCTGGATTTGGGCGCACTCACGCTTTGGATTTCTGATTAGGGATTCTCAACCTGCGCAGACCTCGGGGCCAGCTAAGCCTGCTGACGTCCACTTCCAAGACGCCGGCTTCCAAGCAGCCCCAGAGCCTGGAGGCCCGGTGCTCCTCCTGGGGGGTAGACTGGAGCGTGGGAGTGAGCACTTGCCCAGCCTGCGCTCCCGTCATGCTTTTATATGGAAAATTTTAATAACTGGAATTACATATAATGATGTGGCACACCCTTATAGGATCATTTAGAGTAGTGTCATGGCCCTAAAAATCCTTTTACATGCTTATAAAATCCATCCCTGCTTACTGTGGAAGAAGTGTGAAGCGTAAAAAGTGACAAAGAAGACAAAGTAAAACTCATGTGGGGCTCGTGCCTAGCGCCAGGCGAGTGGCGTGACCACCCTGAGCCCCATGCACGCGTTCCCCCAAGGGTTGAATGAGTCCCTGCAGGCTTTCGGCCACTGTGATCTTTTCATTCCCATCAGGAATATTCCTGGCGGCTTGGAATCATCTCAGGCCGTGTGATCTTACCGCTTCCCCTGTCTGGGTCTCCACGCTTCCTCTGGGGCTCCAGCCTGTAAGCCCACAGGCTGCCGGGCACTCAGGAAGCGACCTTCCTTGCTTGCTGTGGAGGGATGGAACCCAGGGTCTCTCACACGCTGGGCAATGATCTGCCACGGAGCTGCCCATGGCCACCAGAGAGCAATGAGCAGGCGATGAGGGACCTCGCCTGTCCGGGCCGCCTCGCATACCCGTCTTGCCAGGCGCCTGCCCTGCTCTTGTCCCCGTGGACCCAGTCTCTGGTGCAGCTGTGGTGTGCAGTGTGAACTGCACAGGACACAGCAAGCCCTCTGGTGGCTTCGGGTCCCTGGCAGAATAAAACCCAGCCATGGTGCCCCGGCCAGGTGCTTGTTAAGCTCCTCACCTCCTCTGTATTCAGGGTCTCTCCCCATGCTCTTGCTGTTTCTAGAAGGTTCTCCCTTTGGCCTGGCCACTGTCCATCCTCCTTCAAGTTCTAGTTTAAGATAGAGCTAACTGTTCAGCTAATGCAAAACTAAGCATTTCTGAGGAGACTGTTACCACAGATCTCTAGAAAGCAATAACAAGGACAGCTTCTCCCAAGGAAACAAAAAGATGAAGACCAAGAGGCTTAGGTGATCAGCACCCCCACCCCGGGCCTTTAAAAACCCAGGCGTTGCCCCGACTCTTGTAGCAGGGCTGACTTTTTCTTGATGAGTAGGAAACGTGTCTAGGATGTGTGTTGGGCTTAGCTGCCCAGGCATAGCTTGTCGAAGAACAGACCTCAACTTGACCAATCTGCCTACAAAGGAGTAAGAAAGGATAGCTCAGTGGTGAGCTCTCACCTACCATCCATGAAGTGCGAAGCTCTATCCCCAGCCTCCCAAGATAAGAGAAAGGCGGTAAGATCCATCTCCGTGCACTGGTCAGAATTGCCCCGCGTTCCCTCAGCGCACCTCGTAAGGCCCCTATGAAGCTTGCACGGCGTGTGTGGATTCGGCAGGCTGAGCACTGTCCTGTGGGAGTCGTCACTGCGCCTTCTCTGCAGGACGCTGGAGGCTGCGCTCCAGAGCCTTGGTCATTGAGTGTGGCTTATCACAAGCTCTTCTTTCCCTCCGACGGGGTTGTTTTGTGTGGACACCCTTCTTCCTGGAAACGGAGCCTGCACCCTGCAGACTGAGTTAGGACCCCTTGCCCTGCACTGTGCCCCTTCCTGTGGGCATCTTGCTTCCATCCCTGGGGTGTATTTGTTACGATAACGAACCCATGAAGATTCACAATTATTAGTCAAAGTCTATCGTTTACAGTGAGCCGCTCTGGACAGAGCCCTGGTGTCCACCATCGCAGCATCTTACAGAACAGTTTTGCTGCCCTAAAATCCGTGTGCTGTCTATTCGTCCTTCCTCCCTGTCACCCCATCACTGATTTTTGTCACCCGGTGAGACCCCATGCCCCATCCCAGCAGGAACTGTCTGCTCAGGGCTGTCATACTTACTGTTCCCAGCCCAGCACCTGCCACGTAACAGGTGCCCTGCACATCTTTCTCTTTGCATATTTTAATAAAAATAAGATTCTACTAAACATACCAGACTGCGATTTGCTTTTTCCAAATATTGACACTATATCTTGGAAACCTTCCCATATCATAACATAGGGAGCATAGTCTCTCTCTTCAGCTCTGTGTCATGGAGAATTTCCAACACACTCCCAGAGGAAGAGGGACTTGACCACGACATGGCTGTCCCTCTCACTGCAGCTTGTGGCCTGCCTCCTTTTGTCACCCTCCCTACCCATGTCCCCCTCTTCTGTGCTGCTCAGAAGCCAATCTGTCACCAGATCATTTCGTCTTAAATACTCCTCTTTGTGTCTCGGAAGGACAAAGACTCTCCAAAGCAGAATCACGTCCCATCCTCGCCCCTCACATACACCAATTTAATCTCACCGAGTACAGCCAAGGTTCTGATTTCCAAGGGCCTCCTCATTCATGGACATCCCATTTGATTGGTGGCATGGGGCTGGTCAGCCCAAGAGGCAGCCGGGTGCTTGTGTCATCTGTGCCGTCGTGGGGGCCTGCCTCGGGGGGGCCCCCATGGTCTGGGGAGCCTCTGTCTGTTGGGTCTGTATTCCCTGCACCAGGCGCTCACTTCTGAGCTCATCATCTGGGATCAGGCCAGCTGCAGCCCCTGGGTGGAACTGATTGTGTCATTGTGAATTTCTTGTCCAGAGTTTTCTTTTTTTTAGGGAAGGGTCTATAGGGTGCTCAGGGTCTCACTACTGTATTGGACTCTTAGTGATCCACTTGTTTACAGCCTCCCAAGAGCTGGGATTATAGGCATGTGCCACCACACCCAGTCTCAATTGCTGTCAGCACAGCAGGCCCAAGGATTGAACCCCGCCCCTGCACCTGCTTGCAGGCACTTTAATCCGCCGAGCTATTTGGCCAGCCCTCTTGTCCAGATTTGACTGGATTCCAGTTGAGTCTTTCCAGGTAGTGGGTTCGCCTGGGGTAGGGTGTGCTGTCCTGCGGGAAGAGCACTCTCAGGCCACTCCCATGTGTGGTGTCCAGCCTGGTGCAGCTCAATCCCGGGCCCTTCATTTGGGAGGGGCTGCAAACTCTACCATGCAATGCGTCTATGGAAGGAAGCCCCCCTGGCAACTTTCAGTTACCCTGAGGTACAGCTTACGTAGGACAGGCAGGATCAATGCCTGATTCTTTCCCTTTATTTACTAGTTTTCAGAATCATGAGCTGCCTATGAATATTTGAATGAATAAATGAATAATGCATGTGTGGATGAACTGGCTGGGTTGGGGGGGTCCCTCTGTCACCCTGGAGGTTGTCACATAGGCTCCCGGCTGACAGCACAAGGGTGGCTGGGACTCGGTCTGTACAAGTAGGACCTGGAGCAGCTCTTGCTACCTGTCGGCCCTCCTCAGTCAAGAGCAGAGGTGAAGCTGGGCCTAGTGTCACATCCAGTAATCCCAGCCCTTGGAGGCTGAGACAGGAGGTTGGCAAGTTCCAGCCCAGCCTGGGAAACTTAGCAACTTCGTGAGGCCCTTTCTCTAAATACAGAATGAAAAGAGCTGGGGATATAATCCATTGTGAAGGCACTGGGCTCCATCCCTGGTGCCAAGAACAAGTGGAGGTGATTAAAAGCCACCCTGCTAGAAATATAGTGTCTCGTTAGGTATGGCGGTGCCTGCCTGAGGTACCAGCACTTGGGAGGCTGAGGCAAAAAGATTGCTTGTAAGTTCAAGACCAGCCTGGACTACATACTGAGGCCCTCCCAGTTGGGAGGGAGCGAGAGGGAGAGAGACAGAGAGAGGGAGGGAGGGAGGGAGGGAAGGAGGGAGGGAGGGAGAGAGAGAATGAGAATACAGAAATCTGGACAAAGGATTCTTATCACCGCATCCAACAGGCAGGAAACCCTAGATTATGGTTAAATACGAAGCGTCCCCCAAAGACCCGCGCAGGTCTCAGGTTGCAGCATAGTGACACTGCTGGAAGGTGGTTGGCTCCCACGGCTGCCCTAACTTCACCAGTGGGCTAGCCCGCGGGTGGAATCAGGATTTGATGCCAGTACTGGGAGAAGATGGAAATGGGGGAAGCCCTCACTGAAGCAGTGGGTCATGGAGATGCGACACTGGGGACTATGTCTCTGGCCCCAGACCCCTCCTGTCTCAGGCTTATTCTGTCTTTCTCTGCTTCCTGGCCGCTGTGAGGTGAGGCTTCCTCCTCTAGGCCCCTCTGCCACATGTTCCTGTCTTGGCGCAGCCGGCCCTGGCTCTGGGAACACCGGAAACGGAGAAGCTAACGAGCTGCTCCGAAGGCGGATCTTATCAGGCTTTGGCCAGTGATGGGACACAGACTAACACGTCCTGGAAACCACAGTCCAGGCAGAGGCGGGCCCAGCTGCAGCCGTCCGGGCAGCGTCCAGGCTGGTGGAGGCCGCAGGACGCCGCGGACCCTGGCACAGGAGGGGGGCCCGGTGCCGCACGCACAGGCCCTCGCCCACGCGCACGCTGACGCTCTGCCCTCTGCGGTCTCCCCAGGTGCAAGTGCAACCTGCACGCCAGCCTGTGCTCCGTGCGCGAGGGCAGCCTGCAGTGCGAGTGTGAGCACAACACCACCGGCCCCGACTGCGGCAAGTGCAAGAGGAACTTCCGCACACGCGCCTGGCGCGCCGGCTCCTACCTGCCGCTGCCGCACGGCTCCCCCAATGCCTGTACGTATGTGTCCCCCATACCAGCCGGGGGGCTGCTGTCACCTGGCCCTTCATGCCCAGAGCTGTGGTGCACACACATACTTGTGCACACACACACGCGCACACACACACACGCATACAAAGAAACACGTGCACACACTAGCAGGCATGGACACATGACACGCAGACTTGCGCCTGCAGGCACACACATCTTGTCAGGAGCCTGGCCCTCTACCACAGCTTCTACAGCAGACCTCTCTGCAGTTCCTCCGCCGGCCACACAGGAGACCCCAGACAGGTTTCTCAGCCTCTTTCCTGTTTCTCGCCTCCTTGACCCTGGATGCAGGGGAGGAGCCCTGCAGGATGCCCGGAGCAACGGTGCTGGAGCCTGCACTACGTGGGTGACTGAGACCCAACCCCCTGCAGATGGGTAAACTGAGGCCCAGCCAACGTCAGGGCCCAGCTGGTTGTACACTGAGCTGAGCCAGCACTGGGACTCCAGGCTGCTTCCTGCATCCAAGGCCAAAGCCATGGCTGGGCCATGGATGTCCCGCCCGCCTGGGCACCCTCCCTGCACCCCTGAAAGATTTATGTGGCTTTAGGCTAATCAAAGTAGAGTGTCACGGCGGGGCCATGACAGGCCTGCGGTGCGTAGGCTGGGGCTGGTGTCCTGGCAGGCCTTTGAAGGGTGACTTGACGGGCATCTCGCAGCACTTGGGGCCTTCAAAGGCACTGGGACAGCTTGCGGTGCCAGCGGCCACCTCCTGCCTGCCCCTTCCCCCATCTCTTTGTGTCCCGAACCTTTTCTTCCGTTGCTGACACTTCCTGTCTGGCTGGCCTCTTGCCTGCTCCATCTGTCCAGCAGCCCCTTGCCTGGCCCGTCTGGTCTTTTCTTTTTTTTTTTTTTTTTTTAATTTTCATTTTTTGGTGGCACTGGGGATTGAACTCAGGTCCTTGTGCTTGCCAGGGAAGCACTTATTCCACTGAGCCATCTCCCCAGCCCTACCTCTGGTATTTTCTTCCACCTGCGCAGTCTGCGGGGCTTCCTGTCCCTGACCCAGGGCTCCGTAACTGTCCCCTGACCCCCTCCCTAACCACTCTCCCCACATTCTCCTGATCCTTCCCTTTCCAGTACCACCTGCTCCTGCCTTTTCTCCCTCACCCCCTCCTCGCTGGAGCAAACCCTTCCATCTCTGGTCCCCCAGGTACAAGGCCTCTGTGAGGTTTCCTCCTCCCCACTTCCTGCCTTGGATCCCAACTCCAGGAACTCACTCTCCTGCTGTCCGAGACTGTGTGTGTGACCCAGTCCTTTGCTGCTTTGGCAGCACAGCCTCTGGGGCCCAGCCTAGCTGTCACCTCAACCCTGGGGTGTGCCCACCCCTGTCCTGCCTCCTCCACTCAGGAAGCCTGAGTCCTTGCTCCCCCATGTCCTCCATGTGCGACACAGCACGTGCCCCAGCTGGGGCTGGCCTCGGCCCCCCTGCCCACTGTCCTGTCGTCCAGCCAGTCCCCGCATGAGGAGGAAGCGGCTCCTGCACCCCCAGGAGTCAGTCGGTCGGCAGGCTTGCATTTCCTAGATGGGGGCACACACTTTCCCCAGCTGGAGGTCCTGAGAGTCTGAAGTTAAGCAGGAGAGGAGAGGCGTGCTTGGCATTTATCACGCCCTGTAGGGAAGCCACAGCCCCTGGTCTCAGTTTCTCTGTCAAAAAAGTGGGCCAGTAGCAGCAGCCCCTCCCCTTAGGCGGCAGCGAAAGAAATGGGACAGTTGGCCAAGTTCCCAGGCAGGGTTTGACGGATCTCAGTGTCCTTCCTTGACCTCCGTGGGCTCCTCTGCCCTGCCCTGCCCTGCCACACTGTTCTCCTCAACTGTCACAAGGCCCCTGGTCTGACTGCAGCCTGTGACCCTCTTGTCTCGCAGGTGCAGCTGCAGGCTCGGCCTTCGGCAGTAAGTACAGCTGGCTGCATGGGGCTCTCCTCAGGAGGAGCGGGCAGGATGGGGCTTTGCTAGCCCTGGGCCTGGCCACTCTGCTCCACCCCCACCAATCACACCCATCCGCTTCCCCACCCCACCCCACCTCCACCTCTCCCTGGTGTCCTGTTGCAGCCCTGCCGTGATTGGCTCCCAGACAGTCTCAGGAGCTTCCTTAGCGCTGCTTTGGAAAGCTGTGGACCTCGCGTGGGTCCCTTGACCTTGGGGCTCCCTGCTTCTCCTGTTCTGTGCGCAGTGCCACAGCCAGCCCTGACCACCTTGAGGCTGAAGCATACCTATCCCTTTGCCCTGTGTCCAGCCACGCAGGGCACCTGAAGGAGGCCAGGGAGTCCTGAGAGCTCAGGAGGGGGAGGGTGGGCCAGTGGGGGCAGAACTTGGTGGTGTCTCGTTTAACCCCAGAAACCCCACTCCCTGGGGAGATTTGTTAGCAGCTCTGAGTCCCAGCAGGAATGGCCTAGCCAAGGTCAGGCTGGCAGCTGGTGGCAGATCAGCTCTGAGGGTCTCTGGGACACAGGTCTCCCTGCCCCAGGACTCTGTGGGTGGGGACAGCCCTCCCCCACTGAGCTGGGGTGCTAGTAGGCAGAGAGGGCACTGAAGGAAAGTGACCCTGCCTGGGACCGGGTCTGCACAGCCACACTCACAGGAAGTGGTTTCTCCAAGGTGCCTGCTTGCTGACCCCTCCCTCCTGCTTCCTGGTCTCTTCCCAGGCAGTGGCAGGTCCCGGAAGGACCCCGCCCCCAAATCCCCTGTGGCCACTGTGGCCAGAAGGGGGGGACCCACGACTTCTACCCCCTCCACATCTACTACCCAGGCACCCACAGCCCCCAGAAGCCCACAGCCCACAGGTGGGTGCCAGGCTCCAGCCAGTGACCGCTGCTGTCCCCTGCTGCTTGTAGCCAGTGTCCCTGCCTCACCCTGTGTTGGGGGTAGCAGGGCGCAACTCTTAGAGTAGAAAATGCTGGTAGCACCTTAGAGCTTCCAGAAGCAGGCCAAGAGGGCTTCCAGGAGAACACCGGTGCCTGCCCACACCCCAACCCTTACTCCTGCTCCTCCAACACATTCTTTGGTAGACCCTGAGGCCAGTGTGGCCCATGGGTGCTCATCTCAGGGTCAGATCAGGAGCTGTCTCAGGCTCTGCCCCCTGTCGCCCCTCGATGCTGGGGCAAAGTTCTGGTCTCCCCTGGACTTCCCGGAATCCGGGGAAAACCTTGCTGATGCCTGGAGCCTGGAAGGAACCATCCTGGGGGTTGGGGCATGGAGTCCAGGGACCACTGCTGCCTGTCCCACACTACCCCCTGCAGGAAGGACTGCGTGGCAGTGCCCTGACCTTCCCTGACAGGCACAAGTTTCTACGTATAGGAACCCCTCATCACGCTAGGCTGTCCAGGCAAGCCAGAGGGACCTACCCAGCCTCTCCAGGTGACTGCAGTTGCTGCTACAAATCCCCTTTCTGGGCACCTCCCTGTGGCTGCTTGTCCTTGGCCAGCCAGGGCACTGGTAGGGTTCCCAGGAGCCTCCTGGCCCAGCACTCTCTCAGGGAGAAGGACAGGCAGGGCTCACTCATTCTCAGCCACCTGAGACCTGGGCTTTTGAAAAAATATATTTTATTTATTTATTTATTTATTTTTGCTGAGCCTGTGCTAGGTGAATGGAAGTAAAAATAGTCACGAAGGGGGAGGGGTACGGCTCCAGGCAGGGGGCTGTGGGGGAGCAAGGCCAGGTGCACTGGTACTCGATCCAAGTCTGGTGCAGGGTGACCAGGTGCAGGAGCAGGCGGCAGCCCCAAGGCAGCAGCCAGCGGCCTGAGCCTGCCGTGCTGGGGGACCCTCACCACACCTCCATCTGGATCCCTGTTCCTATGATACCAGCTCCAGGTGGGGGCAGTGGGGCCCTCCTGGCTCAGAGCACAGCCTAACTGCACCCCAGGGCCCCTGCTCTGGGACAAGGAGGCTGTTATTTTCTGTTATTATCCCACTGGGGAGGGGACCCAGGCTTAGGAAGAGGCAGCTGGGTTTGCATTGTGTGCATTACACCCCACTGAGGCTGGTTTTCAAGAAAGAAAAGAGAAGCAGCAGCCCAAGGCACCAGGGTGCTGAAGCCCTTCTGCCACCCAGTGCCACTGATCTCAGGCCCTGGGACACCGGGAGGTGGAGCTGTCCTTAAGCCCTGGCCTGCGCAGCTCCCCAGTTCCAACGGAACAGCCGGGGTCTCCATCTGCTCCTGGCACGCGGCACCTGCCACCTGGAGGACGTTCCTGCACACACCTCAGCATGTCCTGGGGAGCCCGGCAGAGGCCTTGCCCTTGCCCTTGCCCGACCCCCAGAAAGGTCTCTATCTCTCCAGCCCCTTCCCACAGGTACCTTCTGGCCGGAGGCCGGCTGGGCCCTGATCCCCTGGCCAGAGGCATGGCCCTCCTGCAGTGCCAGGTGGAGCTCTGCAGCCGCTAATCCTTCCCGGGGAGCGGGGAGCAGGGGAGCGAGGCTCCATGCAGAATGCCTTTCGGGCTGCTTTTACTGAGCCTCTAATTAAGCCCTTGCCAATTTGGGTCCTGCGGCCTCCGCTCCTCATTGAACACCGTATTAATGTCAATTTGATGTCCAAAGGCTCCCGGCTCCCAGCTGGGAAGTCTGCCGCACTTTTTAGCGAGGAGATTTTCTTTGTCTCTGCCCATCAGCTCTCGCGTGGGTAATCCCTTTAAGAAGTGAAAACATCAGCCCCCTCCCCCCTTCTGTCCTTCGAATTCTCCGTGCATCCCTTAGTGTTGGAAATGAGCACCAAGCTCCAGAGGGGGGACTCATGTCGAGATCCCCAGTGGAAATGAGCTCAGGGCAGGGCTCAGGGAGGTGGGAGGGTGGTGACACTGAAGGACACTTGGATCCCTGGGCGGGGCAGGACCAGAAGCCGTCCAGGTCCCCTCCAGGGACATCCGGCGTCCTGGCCAGCACACACCTCCTCTCCCTTCTGCGGCTCAGCCAGACAGTACAAAGCCTAAGACTCCTGGATATAGGACCAGGTCTAATGCCACCTTCAGGAGGAACAGAAGCCACACATGGGGTCCCCAGACTCAGATGTCCCCCTGAGGAAAGGACTGCCCCTACACGCAGATTGTCAGTATGGGGCCCCTCTTGTCTGGCTTCTGTGTATACTGTCGTAGTGTAGACGCTGCCTCTGTAGTGTCTGGACCGACTTTTCAGCCAATGTAGACAGCTTCTCCCTAACAGTGCTGTTTCCTACCAGGGCCTGTGGGGCTACGGGACACCGCACCCTCAAATAACTTGGTTTCTGCTCTTCTTCCCCCCACCCAAGAATGGACCAGGCCGTCTACAGTGGCCCCCTTTGGGCAGAGCCCCCCCTGGCCCCAGGCATCCTCCCGCGCAGAAGGTAGGGCTAGGGTGGGGCCTTCTTGGCTTGGGTGCTTCCTGACGGGTTGAGGGGAGAGGTGCAGGGGTGAGGCTCTCAGTAGCACAACCCCTACCTCCAAACTCTGCCCCTGTATGAGGGGTTCAGGGCCACATCCAGCTGCCGTCCCAAGTCCCTCTCCCCCTCCCCAAGGGGTCTGGAGCACTTGGAGATGCAGAACCCTCTCTCTGGCCACTCAGGCTCACAGACACGAGGGCACAGACAGGGGACAGGGCCAAAGGGGGTGGCTGTGGGCAGCAAGGGGACGTGGCACATTCAGGCAGCAGTGCCAGCTGGGGCAGTGGCTGACACTGTGGACTCCGCTGATAGCAAGGGAGGAGTGCCAGGCCGCAGCTGGGCACACACAGAAAACACGGGGACTGCTTGACTCTCTGAGAAAGGAGGCTGTCCCCAGCCACCCGTTCCCAGGCCTGTGTCCCTGCTGCAACCCCACCTCCTTTCGCTCCAGCTCCCCGCAGAGAGAGGGGCTTTGAGCACCCTCTGCTGGACAGTGACTGCAGGCTGGCCCACCGTTAGGGTCGAAGGTTCTGGGTGCCCTGGGCCACTCTAAATGGGGGCGTTATCTCTGGCTATGGGGACAAAGACAGCAGTGGCCATCTCGTTCCCTTCCCTGCACACACTGAGATGCCACAGACTGCCAGATGGTAGTGGAGGCTGTGATTCCCAGAACGGGCTTCTTCACCCCAACTATGGGACTTGGCCCAGGTGGTGGAAGGCAAGTGCCACCCTTGTGCTCAGCTTGGTGACCCTTGCAGGTGAAAATCCAGGAATGGGTTCCAGAAGACATCCAGTGTCAGTAAATGTCTGCGTGGAGGATGCGGGGGGACAGAGAAGTCATGTGGGGGTCAGATGTAGTCAGTCTCGGAGAGGGGGTCAGGGGCTGGCTCTGCAGGGTACTGAGAGGGACAGGTTCCCCACCTCAGGTCCATGCCAATATGAGCAGGTGACAAGGCTGCCCCAGGCCTAGCGCTGGCACCTCGGAAGTCTCTGTCTAGCTTTTCCCTGGGTGCCTGGGAGCCATGGCAGACAAAAGAAGCTGTTTCTCATTTCTCCAAGCTGTGAGCACCTCTGCCACTGCCCACACCCCTGCCAAGGGCTCCAAACTCTTCCAGCTCAAGCCTAAATCTCCTCAAGTGATGCCTGTGGAAGAATTCCCAGGTAAGCAGAAGGCCTGGCACCGGCCCGGCTCTCCCCAACATCTCTGCTCACCTCCACTGGACAGAGAACAGTGGCAGGCCCTGTGCACCTGCCTGCAGCACCTGGGTCAAGGTGAAACAGTCTCTCTTCCCCCTGGCCTCGGGCCCCAAGGGAGCTGGGAGCAGAGGATGAGTCAGAAGCCAACGTGGGCACAGCGGGCAGGCGCACGGCAGGCAGAGCAGCTGCTGGAAATAGCCTGTCCTGGCTCCCCGGGGAGGAGCAGCCCAGGGGCTCCTCTTGACTGGCACAGAATCTGGGACACTCCAGTCACCAACACTGCTCTTGGGACACTGGGAAGATGCTTGCCTCCTAGCGACGTCGGCAGGGGCATGGTGTAGGAGTAGGTCTGGGAGGCCCACTGTGGGAACGTCCTCCGTCACAACGGGCACACTTCATGGGCTGTCTCCAGGGTCCCCCATGTGTCCAACCCTGCCCCTTCCGGACGGTGTGAGTTCCACCCCCGAGAGCTGGGTCCCAGGCACTTGTGAGACTCGGCAGGGCAATCGGGCAGGGGTCAGCCTAAGACCCACATGATGGTGGCACTGGAAAATACCCCATGATGACAGAGATGGCGCCCTGGTGCCACCCAAATTGGGGAGCGGCCAGGTTAATAAGGAAGGGAACTGCAGGGGCAGGGACAGCGGGCGCGTTCCTCTTCTCCCCCTTCCAAAGCAGCACAGAGGAAGCTCCTGGCCCACCCCACCTCGCCCAGCATTCCTGCATGCCTCCACCCATCCATGCCGCCCCTGGGATGCAGTGGTGATGGCTGGAGCCCCGGCAGCCCTCCCTGAGCTCACCATCTGGGTTGTAGCCCCGCCCTCCTTGCATGAATCACTTGGTAATCTCCCTGGCAAGTGGGCAGCTTCAGAGGGTGGTCAGCCTGGTGCCAGGCTGGGCATGCGCAGGCGCTGTCCTCGGGCCTCCTTAGGTTCTCCTTGCAGCCCAGTGCTGGCAGCTCTGTCTCTTCTCAATGCCATGGGAGCAGTTGGGGACATGAGACCTGCCAGGTCCTTTTCCAAAGACACCTCTCTCCCTGCATGTCCCGGAGCGGGCGGGTCCTCCCTCTCCTGGTGCCTCAGTCTCCCCCGGTGCTCACTGACCGTTGGCGTTTCCCCCACTTGGCTGACCCAGACTGCGAGTGCTATGGCCACTCCAACCGCTGCAGCTACATCGACTTCCTGAACGTAGTGACCTGCGTCAGCTGCAAGCACAACACACGGGGCCAGCACTGCCAGCACTGTCGCCTGGGCTACTACCGCAACGGCTCGGCTGAGCTGGATGACGAGAACGTGTGCATTGGTGAGTGCAGGCGAGTGTGCAGGGTGAGCTGGGTTCTAGGGTCCGCCTGGCTGCCAGGGCTCCCACTGGAAAATCTGGAGGTGGCTCCATCCGGTGAAAGGCTTGCTGTTTATTTTGCCTTGTTTTGAGACTGCGTCTCACTGTGTTGTTCCAGCTGGCCTTGAACTCACTATGCAGGCCAGGCTGGCCTCAGACTCTCAGTGATCCTCCTGCCTCAGCCTCCCAGGGCGAGGAGGACAGAGGTGCACTGCCACGCTGGCGTAGGTGGAGTTTCCAGTGCTCCTTTGTTGCTGACAGTGCCCGTGAGCACTTTCTAGTAGGTGCCAGCTTCTACAGCTGTAGGCCCCTGGCCCCCTTTCCTCATCACCTCCTTCCAGGCCTGGCAAGGGTTAGGGAAGGAAGTCCCTGGAAGTCCTAGACCTAGAAAGGGACAGCCAGTCTCCAAAGGCCAAGTCCACAACCCTGACCAGCACCCACCAATCTGGAGGCATAGCGCTCCCCGCCCCCCCCCAGGTGGGAGGACTCCACCTCCATCCGGAGCAGCCCTGTCCCCCACAGAGCCCAGCTGTCGGCCTTGGTCAGCGTGAGCCTTCAGATAATGTCATCAGCACTAAAGTGACCAAAACAATTGCGCTGCCAAGCACAGGGGCCAGCTGCACGGCCACCGTGCAGCCTCTGGACCCGATTAGAGGAGCCCCTTGTCTTCTCCATCTCCAACGGCCCAGCATCGGACTTAAGGGAGACGGAGTTGGGAGGAGCCCTGGGAAGCCAGCTGGGGCTGAGGGGGCCACAGAGCAACCCCCGGCCTCCTGGACAGACGCCAGCTGGCCCCGATGAGACGCAGGCCACCTGCCAGGCCCTGCCCTCAGGGCACGATGGCCCAGAAAAGTCACTGCTGTCCCCTCCAGTGAACCAGGGGCGCAGGGACAGGACAGGCCACACCGCGACAGGGCCCAGCAGAGTTCGCTCCCAAGATCTGGACCCCTGGTGTTCCCGTGCTTCTCAGACGCGGCTTGGGGAGCACCGGGTAGGGGTGGGGAACCAGGCGGGGCCCTGACGGCGCCCATGCCCGTGTCTGCCCAGAGTGCAACTGCAACCAGATCGGCTCGGTGCACGACCGGTGCAATGAGACCGGCTTCTGTGAGTGCCGCGAGGGCGCGGTGGGGCCCAAGTGCGATGACTGCTTACCCACGCACTACTGGCGCCAGGGCTGCTACCGTGAGTACCGGCGAGCGCGGGTGGGGGGACGCGGGGGGAGGGTTGGGGGCGGGGCAGGTGGTGGGCGTGGCCTCATGGTGCCGGGGGAGGGGTACGCCGGCCCGAGGGAGCTGGGAAGGAAGTGGTGGTGCCGCGGAAGGGCGGTCGAGGAAAGGGGCAGCCGGGTCCCGGCCGCCCGCCGCTCACGGCCCCTTCGCCTGCAGCCAACGTGTGCGACGACGACCAGCTGCTGTGCCTAAATGGGGGCACGTGCCTGCAGAACCAGCGCTGCGCCTGCCCGCGCGGCTACACCGGCCTGCGCTGCGAGCAGCCGCGCTGCGACCCGGCCGACGACGACGGCGGCCTGGACTGCGACCGCGCGCCCGGGG